ACAGTGTTTTTGAGATTTATAAAGTTCTCAACAGTAAATTATTTTGATAAGTGTACCTGTTTCATTTCATATACTACCTTTATTTTCTTTGGTAGGATAGTAAGTTCACCAAATACAATAAACATGTGTATAACCATGATAACAATTGGGACTAAAATTACATGCAAGTTTTCCACTAAAAATTGAAAAATATATTGCATAAGCGTACATTGTACTTCTTAACTTATGCAAAAACAATCTATTTCCTATAGCTTCTGTATTAATTTTTATGTGTAAATATGCGTTATTGCCTAAACTGACCAAATAACTTTTTTCAATCATGATGATGATGGGAGTTTTTAACGACCTAGACTGGCTATACAGCCCTTGCACTGTCGTTTTTTTTCTATTCAATTATACATGGCCAAGCACGTTTTATACTCATGTGGAAGAATTAAAAAACCTTAAAAATTTAAATTGGTAGAAAAAAAAACATTTTTATGTCATGCATCATGCATGTAAAGCCACCTTCTTTGGATAATCTTTTATTTTTTAGACACACATTTATTTAAATTTTGAATAATTGTAATAAATCTTGAATCCTTGATACACTGAATGATTCTTCATTTGCTTTACATACATGCTACATAATATATTAGGGCATTTAACATTGTTAGATAAATTAATGTAAAAAATAAACTACCTAAGCTCCTGATTAAAAAGGATATATCATTATTGTCTTTAATAAAGCTTGTATATTTACTTTGTCAACTCTTTTATAATTCCCTACTCTAACATGTCTAAGGTCATGCAATGTCTATAAAAAAATGTCTATTCAGTTTGAAAATAAAATTATTTCATTATTTTAAAGAGATGGATTTAGGGGAGGTACATCAGAGCTCCAGATAAGCTGCGTATTTGCGTGATCACGCAATAAAAATAATTAAAAACCCAATGCAATTGCCCATTGCAGGGTTCAATAACCCAATTAATTCAAAGGAAAACCCAATTATATGCCAAAAACATGGGTTCTTAACGCTTTTATTCGCTATCGTTTGCGTTATTTACCCTTACTTGATTACAGTCGTCGCGTAAATCTATTTTTATAATATTTATAATTGGAAATGTCCTTTCGTTCTAAAAATAGAGCCCTGCATCAAGTAGCTGTAATGGGTCCCTGTTGGAATTTTCCGTTGCTCAAAAGGTACACGTGTTTATGAAAACATTTCGATCTTCTCGGCGTTTATCCAATTAGCGTGTGACATGCTGTCATATTTTTTCGAATTGCTCGGGCATTATCATAACATACAATGAATTAAAACGAAAGTAAATGTCCGGTAAAAATATTGAATAGAAGCATGTTTTCGGCTTCTTTTTGATAGCTGAGGGAAAGTTATGATGATAACAAGACTCAGTTAGTGATTTTAGGAAGCGGCAATTGAACGCACGGGCGTGTTTGCGTACCATAACGAGAACATTGCTAGAGCGATAAACACGGGGTTCCGTCAAAAAAGAAATCAGTTGGAAAAAGTGAAAGGCCAAATCAATTATGACATGATATGTAGTTTGAAAGCATCGGAAACCAAAAGTTCTGATAAGGGACAACTTAACCCAGATTTATGTAAATTGAATTAAACGAAAACAGTTTATATATTATTTTTTTCATTTTAGTTGATGAGTAAATACACATATCCGTTTTTTACGTCAATGCAGCTTGACACTTTCTTTGTTTTTGGTCTAATTGTTCTAGATGCTTAAGATAGTTGTCTTATTGGCAAGTGCAGTATAACATTGCCATTTATTTACTTGATGTTGCAGAATTATTTGTAAATTTAAGTTGAATGTGGTCTCCGTCATTATAAACCACCCTATAAACCTCAAGGTTTTGGGGGTATATCTTAAATCTGGAAACTACTTTTTATTTTTATTAAAAAGTAGATCTGGCAAATAGGTGAAAGGACTGGCAAAACTTTCTTACAGCACCTAAATTTCACATATATTACACAAAAATCTAAACACTTAGCCACACCTACCCCAACTATAATTAAACTGTAGGGTGATCATATGGGATCTAGAAAGGCAATTAATTAGTTCCTGTCCAACTAGTGACACCAGCTGCAGTTTACATAAGTTTTGAGAAAATACAAAACTGACAGAACGTTTAAAACGGTACACAAATTAAATGTACAATTGCTCGTCAGTGAATAAACCAAATAAAACAGCTAGCACATATTCTACAAAGAAAGAAACACATTTAAGATGGAAACACATCTGGGGTTGATATAATGTGATTATAACATGCCTAAATATTCAATATTGTGTTGATGAAAAAACTCAAAACATTAAGGAGCTTGGTGGTGAAAAACCCAATTTGATATTTGCTTGAGGGGTGAATTGGAATTGATAATGCAATTAAAAAACTTTATCACCCAATTACATAAAAAAACGGTGGGTAAAAACCCCAATTTGTGAATTCTTATCTGGAGCTTTGGTACATATATGGTTAATTCATAGCCTTTTTACATGTTCCACTTCAACCGTTGCCTAGTTTGGGAAGCCTTTTGCCCCTTTTTTCGAAATCCTAGAAACATATTTGTAACATTTTGTTACCTGCATTTCTTTCAGACAATACCTGGTAAATGAAAATATAAAAAAACACACTAGACTTGCACCTTCTCAATTAAATTTTTACAGGCCTTTTAAAGCTGACTATGTGGTATGGGCTTTGCTCATTGTCGAATGCGGTACAGTAACCTATTGTTGTTAATTTCTGTGTCATTTGTTCTTTTGTTTTATTGGATATCATACCACATCTTTTTTTTTATATAATGTTCTACTTTTAGGCAAAAATATATATTAAAATAATAAATTATCTACCAGCTCTAACTCAAAGTATGGCCGTTCACTTCCCATATGTTAAAAAATACAAAAAATGTACATTCATTTGTATGTAATAAAGAAATTATAAAAGTAACGAATCAATGAAATAACCTGAATAACCTTTTACATTTTGCCACTTTGAAAATAATTATAAGAACTATTACATGTACCTCCCTTTTTCAATTCCAACTAATTTATAAGCATAGCCCGATTTGAATTAATCTAACTTTTTAATTCTGTCCATGAAAAGTGAACTGTTCTAGCAAAACACATACTGATATAACTTTATTAATTAAGACATTTGACATAAAATTTAACAAAGAGAACAAAATTTTAATACAACAGTAAATTGTTTGAAATATATAGTTCAATATGCACCTCACCTTATCCATGTTATCATTAAATAATCAACACAGTATGATATGTGCCAAGTTTTACATGAATAATCTACAGGAGGGACCCAGAATTTTAGAAAAAGAGGGTGGTGGGGGTTACTGATGGATGGACAGACAGACAGACTGACAGAGTGCAAACCAAAAGTCCCATTCGACTTCGTCGGTAGGGGACTAATAATCTAAACTAACAACAGAGTAAATGAAAATTCTGTTTGCAAAAGAAACTCCTGCCTTTTCCCCCTGAAAAGTCAAATAGTCATTAGTATTAATTTACTTATGGTGTCTGATGTAGACAATATTCTGTATGTATGTGCCTGTCCCAAGTCAGAAGCCTGTAATTCAGTGGTTGTCGTTTGTTGATGTGTCACATTTTTGTTATTGGTTCATTTTTTGTACATAAATTAGACCGTTAGTTTTCTCGTTTGAATTGTTTTACATTTGTCATTCCAGGGCCTTTTATAGCTGACTTTATATATGCGGTATGGGCTTTGCTCATTGTTGAAGGTCGTACGGTGACCTATAGTTGTTTATTTCTGTGTCATTTGGTCTTGTGGAGAGTTGTCTCATTGGCAATCATACCACATCTTCTTTTTTTTATATATAACACAACTGCCAAGTTGCAAATAAATGGTGATTTAGTCAACACACCATGAATTACATTGTACTATCAATCTTAGTTGTAAGATTAACCATGTTAATGTGAAAACGACTCCAGTGGACCCTAAGTGGTCTGTAAAAAATGTGTCATAACATTTACCACAAGTACATTGTACAATGAGCATCACTCATTTTAGTGTGGGTATGGCTGTGTTTTTGCTTATTCCACATTGGTTACAGACAGTGGAGGGTTAACATCTGACAAAACATGTTTAACCTCGCCGAAATATTGTTTGCGCCTCACCCTGTCCAAAGTCGTGAAATTCTAGTCTTTTTTAGTCTTGATTGTATGTATTTAAATTTTTGGTTCATTTATATGTTTTTGCGTTAAGTGTGACGTCCATTTTCCCTGGACAATACATTATTGTTTAGGGGCTAGCTGGACCCTGCCTCCAGGGGCTGGATTTTCTCGCTGTGTTGAAGGCCAATTATACCCATAGTGGCCACAGGTCATCTTCTGCTATTTGGTCGGATTGTTGTCCTGACATGTAATTTTCCCCGTTTCCATTCTCAATTTTATATAATTTATAATACACATTAATGTTTGTCCCTGTTTTTTGCTTTTTTTTCCCCCATTTCCGTTAAAAAATAACTTTCAAATGATTTTACGGTTGTAATAGCACTTTCTAGGGCTAATAAAACAATACTTTCTTCTGAGGTGGATTCGTTTTATTTCTTGACAAAATCAGGGTAATAACAATAACTAAATAAATACCCTACAAAATAAATACAATAGTAAGATTCTGACCGTTTATCGAATAAATAATCTGGTACATAGGTTTCTATCCATGTAATGTGATAAACAAATGTTTTACTTATAGAAGTAGAAATAAATCTGTTCTGCATGTATTTACAACAATATGCTTATATTGTTGAGCGTATCTGACAAAGTTTAGTCCATATGCACTTAACGACTCATATTATATAAACAAGTCTAATATACGAAAAATGACAAAAGCGGTTAACACAAACTTTAACATAAGCAAATTAACAAAACTAAAAGCAAAAGCTGCATGCTGTATAAATGCCGTAAGCATAAAATAGCAACAAACAAAAATAAGAACATTACAAAAATAACACTTAGCTTACCTCGCATGAGGTGCAAAGGCCTCCTGAATTATCTAATTGGAATTAAATCACATCTTCCCAGGATTACTTAAAAATATACCTGTATAACAAATAAACAAATTGTAATCCATGTTTTACTGTAATAATCCACCTGTTTACGATATGTACTCTTAGTTAAAATAATCAATCAATACCACATAACTTTTATTACGTTTATATCTTTACCTTTAAAAGTATTTAAAGCATTCGTACCGGAACACTGGAATTCTCATACAATATGTATTAAATTAATTCTTTACCAAATTAGTTAAAAGTACTTTATTTATGAAAATATGAAAATAACGTCTCTTAAACCATTTAATCAAACAGATAATACTTTACTGTACTTTATCTATTTTATAGCTTTTTATAGCATTCATCTCGCATTCAACATTTACGCATCGGTCTTTCATTCTTAACATTCATTCTAGGTAAAATAATAAATATCTGGACTATTAACGTATAATTAGTAATAGAGAAAGATAACTGACCTGTATATAGAATATCGTACACTAAGAAAGAATATTACTCAAACTTAGAATTATATCAAACACATATGTCTATGTCCACCATTATATCAAAAGTGATAACCAGAATAAAGAACAAAAGAAATATAGCGCCAAAACATAATGACCAATAGAAATAAAGAAAGTGTGCGGTCCAATGAACCATGAAAAGAAAGCCTTTGAAGTAAAATACAGTGAAACCAAAGTTACCCAAACCAGTAGAAAACTCGTCTGTCAATAAGTCCAAATGTCAAATAAGCAAATAAAATGAACAAAGCATATACATATACTAATCAATTAATTACAATCTGTAATTAATATTCTCATACCTTTTAATTAATATAAGTCAGATAATAAACAAAATATAATACCATATACTTAATATAAAAATATACACAATTACTGTAAAACCTACAGTCTACCACACGGTCGTGAATCATTCTTGTGCTGGGATCATTCGAACACGATGTAAAATATATCTTCAATAAACGAAGGATCACATCGGTAGAAACTTAAAGAAGAATTACTTACATTTATATGCCTTGTTTGTTTACAAAATATTACATACATTTTACGCATATTTCCGGGTCCTTTTCTAGTGTAAAACAAGTGTGAAACTATTGACAATTACGACAATAGGATGACTTGCGATATCGATGTGCGACTTCCTGCGCAGTTGGCGCGAAAATTTGAACCCGCGAGCCCCCTTAATATCATTATGAGGGCATTAAGTGTTACCCTTGTCCGTCTGTACTTGCATCCCAAAATTAGTTTCCGTTCTCTGTTTTTAGTTTGCCTCAACCAAATGTCATGAAACTTATGCTTATTACCACAAAACACAGATCAAGTTCGAATTTGGGTGGTGTCACTTTTACCATTCTCAAGTTATGTCACTTTACAATGCTATATGCAAGCGAGGGCATCAGCTGTGTCCCATGGACACATTCTCCATCTATTTTGTTTTTGTTTTTTTGACTAGATATTAATTATAGGCATTTATTCCAATGATCCTGTTTTTGATTTGAATTTTCAGAAATCTGATGATAAAGAGAATACAATGGAAAGTACAACTGCAGAACCAGGTATAAAATGAATTTCTTTAATTCTAATCCAATTTATATTTTCCAAACAGGTTGATTATATTTAATTCTCTGATTCTTATCCAATTTATACTTTTCTCGACCAGTTGATATTTTTTATGTTCTACATGTGGTTTGTTTGATCTCAGTTCTTTGTTGGTCAAAATTCAATTATGACATCAAATTTTCTTGCATTCCTCTGAATTTCCTATCATGACATCACCGATAAAGGCAACCATGTCATGTATAAAGAACGCATCCTTTTTTGCATATCTATGATAAATGTCATACATATGGTCTCAAAATCTTTAGAGAAACAGATTCCACCGCTGTATCTCATGCATTAACACAATATTTCTTCACTCTCAACAGTGAATCTTAGATATTTAAAAAACTGGGTAAGCCTCGCATTTAAGATATACCAGTAAAAGTTAAACTGTTGCGAGTTTAGAAAAATTGTTCTGAAGTACTGATTACTGGGCTGATGATAATGTCAGGGACTACCAGTCCACCAGTAGCTATATCTACCCAGTGATAGAAAATGAAAATAATACTTCATCAATTTGGTGCTTTATTTGGATATAACTATATCAGGAACACCAAAAACCTATATTAATCAAAGGAAAAAAACTAAGGGTCTCTCTGTATTTACAAATGTTATTTTGCTTTATAGATAAAAGGGAAAAAGAGTTGTTTCAGATGTGCATGCATTAAAATTATCTTAAGTAGTTTGGATGTCCATGAGTAAAAAAATATTTAATATTTTCATCAACTATGTATCAAAAGTAGTGCATTTACGGGTGATATTAAATTTGGTTGTGTCTAAAAAATTTACAACAACGAACAAAACGACACAACAAAAGGTCAAGGCCATTTTTAACAGCTTAAGAAGGCAACCTTATGTTTATCCATGGTACATTTTTAATTCACAGTAATGCTTTAAAATCATTGTGGCTATTAAAAAGTCATCGGCATTAATTTTCAGTGATACTCTTTGAAAAAAATGAAACAAAGTATTGCTTACACCACTGTGTTGAATCTGTTCAGTGTTTAACCTAGTCCAAATAATTATGACGTCTTGAAAGGCTATTTTATTTTTTTGCTTTGACGCCTTCCTGCGACGTCATAATGCCAAAGCCATTTTGTTCAGTTGGACTTTGAGAGAGAATTTACTGCTTTTTGTCTAGCCTTGAAGGAGTCAAAAAGCGAGACATAGGTATGCTGTTTCAGGCGTCGTCGGCATCAACAATGTATTAGTTTGTGATTAGGTCTAGTTCATGGTGAACCACTAGTGGTAGGTCAATGATATTGGGTATGCAGTTGTATTAGCATTGGCACATCTCATTACCATGGAGATTATTTGACCCCATCCCCTCAGTCAAGGTCTGTTGACTTTGAAACTTTCATAGTTTACATGTATTAGTTTGTGATTAGGTCAATTTATGGGGAACCACTAGTGGTAGGTCAATGATATTTGGTATGCAGTTGTATAAGCATTGGTATATCTCATTTCCATGGAGATTATTTGGCTCCACCCCCTTAGTCATGGTCAATAGACTTTGAAAATTTTGCTAAGTTAACATGTATTAGTTTGTGATTAGGTCAGTTCAAGGGGAACCATTAGCGGTAGGCCAATGTTAATTGGTGTTCAGTTGTATAAGCATTAGCACATCTCATTTCCATGGAGAATATTTGGCCCTGCCCCCTCAGTCATGGTCTATTTACTTTGAAACTTTTGCTTAGTTTACATGTATTAGTTTGTGATTAGATCAGTTTAAGATGAACTGCTAACAGTCAGGGATATAACTCTATAGGGTTATTACAGAAAAATAACATACATTTGTTACTGTGGACTAAAAATCAAAGAACTGTGATAACATATGTATGTTACATATTTTAAAGGGACAATATACATCACAAGTTTAGTTAAAATGCATACAAGTTCTATTGATATTACTATTGTCCTTATGTATACTTAACTATAGAAAGATATAACAGTTCATAGTTTGCCAATTTTGCATAGTACACCTATATGTTATTACAGAAAAAATATGCCTGTAATAACTAAAGGGTGTTATCACAGCTTCTCTATATCACTCCAAAGCATTTTCTCAGACAAACATCATGCTTAATTACATTGTATTTTAATTTATTGTAAGAAGTAATGATCACAGCATGTAATGAGGTTCTGCGCAAGCTTCCCAGTAATTCCCAAGTGTCTCATATAATAAGTTACATTCCTTTAATAACTAAGCTATGTTATTACAGCTAAGTTTATCCCTTAAAAGCCTTGTCTCATTGATTTACCATGGTTAATCAAAAATGTATTAATTTAATTCAAAAATTAGTTATCAAGGCTATGCATTTAGTTTCTGCGCAAAGTCTCAAGAGTTCCCTAGAGCCCATTATAGATTAAAACATTTTTGATTTATTTTACAAATAATAAACATACGTTATTACAGATTTAGAAAATTTAAGGAATAAAGAGTAGACAACTCATGAAAGTATCTGTAATAACACACACAAGTTATTTTCTGTAATAACCCTATAGAGTTATATCTCTGACTGGCTAATGTTAAGTCAATGATATTTTGTATGCAAATTTATTGGCATTTGCAAGTATTGTTTCCATGGAGATTATATAGCCCACCCCTGATTATGGTTCATTGACTTTGAAACTTTTACATAGTTTACAAGTTAATGTTTGTATTTAGGTTTGTTTAAAGGGAACGACTTATAATAAGTCAATGGTATTTGGTATGCAGTTGTATAAGCATTGGCACATCTCATTTCATGGAGATTGTTCAGTCATGGTTCATCGACTTTGAATATTTGCATAACTTGCATGTTAAAGTATTGCTATTTTAATTTCAACATTTGCATTTTCAAAATTACAAAAAAGGCGAGACATATCTCTGTGATAACAGTTTATTTAAAACATTTAGCTGATTTCCCAAGACACTTCACTTAGGAGAGTATAAAATAAATTTTTACACCAAATTTCGGTAAAATTTGACATACCTGAATTTCCAGATAATATAAAACAAATGTTCTGGAAATTCAGGTCTGTCAAATTTTACCGAGTTTGGTGTAAAAATTAATTTTATACTCTCCCAAAGTGAAGCATCTTGGGAAATCAGCTAAAAGTTTTAAAAAAAGCAGCAGATTATCGTATGCTCGAATGGAATTGTAACTTATTTTATCATTACTTTGGGAAATTATTGGAGATATTTTGCAACAACAAACACGTAAAAGTTAAGAATTTGTATATACGCAAAAAATTCTTGCCATCTATGAAAATTTTATGGCTTAATTGGGTCTCAAAGTTGATAGAGAAGTCCAACCAAAAAAAAAGGCTCCAGTGTTATGAATTCGCAGGAAGGCGTCAAAGAAAAAAAATGAAATAGCCTTTCAAGACGTCATAATTATTTGGACTAGGTTTAATCAAGTTCAAAATCACACACAAAAACTCTGTGTAGTTTAGATAATACATTTCTAAGCATTAACTTTTTTATTACTCATCATTTTCCATAACAAAATAAAACTGTGTGTATCATCATGGTCATTTGAGGCTCTAAATAACTTGATTAGTAACCACTTAACCATGTAACCACTGTGAAATTTGATAAATGTTACAATATATATAAACTTCTACTTCATTTCTTGGTATTTCGCAAAACTTTCACAGTGAACTATAAAGAAATTAAAAAAAAAAAAAAAAGGGATATGGGGTACATCCATCCATGACACAAAATTAGTAC